ACATGGACTGCATACCTTCCTGGATTTCTCATGTTGCTTGGGAAGGCTAAAAGCTCGCCTCCATGTGTGGCAATCCATATAAAGGCCTCACTGCGTTTTCTCCAAGTTAAGAGAAATTCATCAAAGCACATCTTAAATTACTTATTATGGCATCATCTCGGGCTGAAATGAGAGCCCACATCAGGAAAGAAGCTGTAAGGGATGGGAAGGCGTGGGAACTGAAAGATGACACATGGTAAGAGATGCCATGTGCCTAAAGAGAAACTATGCTATTTCAGTTTACAAGATCTAGCCTGCTTGGTAAACTCTAACAAACATCATGGAGAGCATGTTTAGGGTGCATGCAAACCAACTCAGTGATCACACGGATTACGACAGAACAGCAGCTGACACAGCAATGTGACTAAGATGCACTGCAAACTCTGTTAACTCTGTAGATATATACAAATCCAACCATTTCTTGCAAATGATTTTAGCCTTGGTTTTTCAAAGAAAACTCAAGAAGCTGGATACCCAAATGCTGCTTATTTTCAATTAGATTAGGGGCCTTACTTCCTTAGATTCTTGACAACTCCTCACTAGATTTGCTTGATGTTTCTGTTGGAGCAGTACAAGGCTTCCTTTATCAGTCACTGGAAGCCTCCCTGCCTACCAATTTGTAACGGGCTTAGTTTTGGTTTTCTCTTTGCCATTTCAAAAATAAAGTTAAATAAACACAAAGACAACAAAAAAATAGCTTACCCACTGGCAGTGCTAAAAAGTATCCAAGGCAATTTTGTTGTACTCTGAACTTGTTCTTTGCAAATTCATACTCTGACAATAGATTTTAAGATCTCGTATCCAAAGCCCCATAATAAATGTCACCAACTCAACTTAAAAGCTAGTGAAAACAAAGGTCTTGATTAGAAAAAGAATCATACAAGGAACAGTAAATAATACTTCCAGTTGCTTAACTGCTACCTTTCCATCACTGCTGTTCAAATTCATTAAGGTGGCGTCTGCATTTTTATATATAAAGCAAAAAACGTTTCTTGTGACAACGGAGAGACAAATGCTTTTTAAATTTATTTCAGGAGATACTTGAAGTCTCCTGAAATTATTCTAATGCTTTAGCTCGTTTCTGACCTGGTATTTCACTTCAGCATAGGACTCCAGAGCAAGGGGACCCCAGCTGAATTTTACAGTACCTGTGGAGCAGGCAGATACTGCCACCTTGGGGAGGACTCCTTCCACGTACTTGGAGAAGCCTAAGCAAGTGTCACATAAATTAGTGTGGGTTTTTTTTTTTTCCCCTGTCATATCCTCTCAGGAAGAAAACTTCTTAAAATCCTCTGCCCGTGCTGTTGCAAGACCTTCCAGATGTGTCCCAACTCAGACTGTATTACATTCATCATAACACTGGAAATAAATGCCTTTTTTTTGTGGGGAAGTTTGCTTAGCCAAGTTTTAGATACCATTTAAGCAGTGCCTCCTTTACACCACTCTTAATTTTACAGCCATCTTGCCAGCGTAAAAGTCTGTTCTGTATCAAGCTGAGCAAGCTGTATTTTGCATACACCGTTCCTCTGCTTCTGGGATTCCAGCTTTCTCAGTAGTCTAAACCCTTGTCCATGCACAGCTTAAGTTATCTCCTTGGCAGGCTACCGGCTCAGCTGGATGTGACTGCCAGGACGGATACTGCCTCACACGTCAGGAGAGGCATTACTGCACACAGGAACAGTCTGACGAAAAGTACAGAGCTAGACTGTGACAATTTAACCAAAGACTTCTAGGCAAATTAAAGGAAGCATCTGGATTTTATATTCACAACATCCATAGCTTTATGAGACTGACCTATCCTTTTGGTTGGCAAGTGAGTCACTCCCCATCCAGTTGTCCTTGAGTTGGCATCTGCTAGCAAATGAAGGAACATCACTATATAATTTATATAAAAATATGCCTTAAGAGATAAAGGCTGTGCACAGCATTGAGTCACAAGGCTTGTCACAGTGGAAACTGTCAGTAGTTGCCTTGGCTACACAATACAGGAGAAGATTTAGCATCTCATCTCTCACCAGAATAAGCAGGCTCAAGAGCAGGGAGCTGTCTGAAAGCAACTAACTTGTCTATGTGCTCTTCAAAAACATACAGCGACAAAATTCTTACACAGCTGCCCACAGCCAAGTAACACAAATGATGATGAACTCATTCACGACGAATGATGCGAATTTACCCAAGGAGGCTGCGAAGGCACCATTAGCTCCTACCTTCTGCCAAAGCACTGGCTGTGCTTGTGGCACCAGAGCAGGAGACAGCAGGCTTCTAGAGGAACCGAAGTCTCACTCCACTGTCGTGGAAGGCAGGAACAGAGGAACGGCCCAGGTACTGCAACAAACCAATACTTACAGGCTCCCACACAGAGCTATGGTTTTGATGACAATGTCCCTAGCAGGACTGGGCTCCGGAAAGCACCTTCCTCTCTTCCTCCCACCACAAATAGCCTATGTACTAGATTCTTGTCATCACTGTAATGACACATCTTAATACCCTTGGAGTGAAGCCTCCACTCACCTGGGATTTACAGTCAGAGAGGTGGCTCATCTAAACCCTTCCCTGTGAACAGACAAGAAGGGCTCACTCTACTCTTTTGTTCTATTACTAGAATCTGGTTGTTAAAGCACAGATTTGTATTTATTGTCCACTAAGGCACAGGAGTCAAATCAGTCACTTTCCCACTTGTGGGAAATTGTCTAAAAAGCAAGTGCTAGGTCCTTTCTGGGCAAGCTTTTTGTCCCTGGTTTTAACGCTACTATAGCATGGCAAAGAATGATGCTTGCAAGAGAAATGTATCAAGCTATCAAGCCAACAGCTAATGCACGCGACTGGCAGTGCTACAAGCCTTTAGTTTTCTTCCCAATCCACAAATCATTTCTGTGTTTTTAATCGTTTTTTGATTATTTTAATCCTTTTTTGTTAGGCAAACAGCTTTACATCTGCATATGGCTTATCCTGTGCTTTGAAAATACTGTGCTCATTAATTCATTGCAATAATAAGAAAAAGTACACATGCTCTTCACATGCATATATGAACACACATCCAAGAACATGCAACACAAAGTAATTCCAGTACCTCCATTATCACTTTCACATTCAACTGCTGGTAGAACTCAAGTAACTTTAAAAAATACAACTTCATACAATCACTAAATTGATTGCAAAACCGTATCTGCAGCTAAGCTGCAAGAATTCAACAGTGCCAATGACTGACCAATCACATCCAATTGGATGAGGATCTATCAGTAATAGATTAACCAGATTAATGTGTACGTAACAGTCTCGGCATGGCACGCTGCCGCTGTTAGGTTCAAAGTCCACATATAAACTTCTTTTTACACTGCACACACGGTTTATGAATGAAGTGTGGATGAAACAGGAATTTAATGGAAAATAAGGTAAGTTACATAATATGAAATTAATCTAAATATTCAAGTGTAGACTGCTTACAGGAAAAAAAAAAAAAGAAAAAACCTTGATCAGGATTTTAAAAAGAAATGTACAAATGCAAGTTTGTGGTGTCATATTATTATGCTACAGAAAAAGAATATAATGCACATCTAGATTGACAAATAAGTGATGACAACCTTTTCATAAGGCATGCTGTTTAAAAGGTATTCCTAAAAAAAAAAAGAAATTGATCCTTGAAAAATCCACAAAAACCTCAGGAAGATCATCATGTACAATATTCAGTGTTGCCTGTAACAAAACGAGTACAAAACCAGCTCTTTTGGGCATGGATTTAAGAGGAGGGCAAAAGCTTGAACTGCACATGCAAGAATCTAAATAAATTAGTCACATGAAACCCTAATCTAAAATTATCCATGATTTCTCTATGAGTACCTAAACCCAGTGGCTTAAAAATAAATAAATAACAATCTTTCTGAAGTGCAGGTGTCACTGATAACTTAAAATCAACTACTTATTTGCCAATATGGTGCTCCATCTGAAACACCTCTGAACTTACTTAATCAGCCAGTATTCCTGTTAGACCACTAACGTGCACCAAAAATCCTTCAGATACTGGATTACAGAAAAGCACAAAGAGAATGAGAGAGCTTATTTATGAAAGACTACAGTAACTGGAAATGATACTTACCCATCTCCCCTCTCCATCTACACTTTGCTTTTCCACCAATTGTGTCGTAAGCCTAAAAGTTGTACGGTATACATTTCTGAAGTCTCAATTTCATACGGGGTTAGGAGCTGCAGCATTGGCTATTTCAACTCTTCTTTTTTTTCATTAAGACACACTTCTTACATTTATTTGTACCAAAAAGTCCTTTCAAATTACTGTGTTTCAACTGTAGTGGCAGCTGATGAAAGGCATATACTAAGCTGTTCTCTGCTGTGAAAAAGTGCTCCTTAAAAGCTACTTCTCCCTGACTATCCTTTTTTTTTTTTTCCTAAAACCAAGTAAAGATGTACGTCCTGAAACATGGTCACTTAACAGCAGCACATATTTTCACCATCCTCTTCTTCCTCCCATAGTTCTTCTCCTTTTCATCACCTACTCTCCCTGCATGCCAATGCCATTTTCCATAGTTGTTTCCCAACTCCTCCCTTCCCTTCCTTCTCTGTTGCCTCCCTTTAGCTTTACCTACTTTACTTGTTCCTAAAACTCTTCTCACACCTGATTCTTTCCCAGATCTTCAGTTTCTGCCAGCGTAGGAGCACAGTCTGTTAGGTTGCTCTTGTACCTGTGACACCTTCCATGGGGTTTTGTTATTTCTAAGCAGCAGACTGGGAAGGACACCAAAGATCCATCCTTGATCAGACAGAGGTGTGTGTGCTGTACTGAATGTCTATCTACACCACATACTCCTTAAAGCAGTTCAAGTAGGGAAGGACACTCAAAAGACATTGAATTTTGCAATTTTTGCTGGATTTTTTTTTTAAGTTCTCTGAAATGGCTTATGTTATTTGTTCTTCACTTAGTGACAGGTTTGTGGATAAAAGCCTAGACAATGGCAGACAGCAATGAGATGATCATCAACCTTGTTGTCCTTGGAAGAACTCAGACCGGCAAAAGCGCTGCTGGGAACAGCCTGCTGGGCAGCTCAGACTTCGAGAGTATTTGCTCCCCAAGCTCTGTGACTGCCTGCTGCAGCCTTGGACGCAGCTGCCGCATTTCAGGGATTATACGAAGAAATGGCGGTGAGATAGCTCTCCGTGTTCGAGTACTTGACACTCCAAGCTACCCTCACAGCAGTCTGAGCAAAGAGCAGGTGAGAGACACAGTGAGATCAGCCCTAGCTCACCACTTTGGCGAAGAAGGCCTGCATCTAGCCCTCTTGGTCCTCAGGGCTGACTTGCCTCTGTGTCCAGATGACAGCGATCATACAACGAAGTTCATCCAGGTAACAAACAAACAGATAAATAAATACAAGTCTTGTCCTAATGGCGACTCTTTTGTGTTCGGGTGACAATAGCTACGGAAGAGCTGACTGCAAAAGTGAACTGGAGAAGTGCAGCTCAAAACTGGAACACTTCCCAGTCCAGCAGCTGAAACACATCATTCACAAATCCAACACCATACACCACAGCTACACTTACC